TTCCTATGTGAGGAATAAAGTGATGAGGGTTGTTAGAATTTTCTAATCTAGAGCTCAGTTTCCCTGAGGAAAAGAGGCAGGAAAATGACAGAGATGGGTTTAGAGGGCAGTTGTGTGAAGTGTGCTGTCCACACTCATCCAGTAGCCCTCAGACTTTTGTCTGTGCTCAAGTCAAATTCCATCTGCCAGTGTCTACTGCTCACCTGAGGTTTTCTCAACCCAGGTATGGCAGGCCACTCGATCAAGTGTTTGGTCATCTGGAGGTACTTGCACTTATTCACCAACGACGTCCTAGAGAGGCCTCTACCAAATAGCCACAGGAAGGGCCTCCATGGGATGTCTCTGCTGTGTTTGCACAGCGTTTTCAGTTACATTACTTCCCCCACCCCACCTGTTGTTGTTCCCCATGAGTTATGTGTGCTCAAATACTTACCTCAGGAACAAGGGAGCTGCGATAGAAAGGGCCTGAGTGCAGGGGGCTGTGATGGCCACATTCCAGGCAAGCAGGAATGCATGTTGGAGTATGGAGGAGACAGAGGGCAGGTGAAGCAGATGGGCCTCAGGGTGCCAGGTAAGGGGGAAGGGCATCATGGACCACAACAGGGCTTCAGATAGAATTCCTGAAGGGGCTGCATTGGCTTACTCTGCCTGCTACAGTGATCCAATCTCCCTGCCAGGTCAGTCATGCATTCAGCACGGGTATTGAGTGTCACTGTGTACAAGTCCCTGATCTGAATGCCTGGGGCATATCAGAGAGCAGACAGAAACACGCTTCATGGAGCTGACATTCTATTCTAGTGGATAAATATAGACAGCAAATAATAAATCATTATAAATGGAATGCATAAAATAAGCCACCAAGAACACATTAGTAATCTTAGTGAATGTGAATGTGTTGACTTCTATTAAAAGACAAAGACTTTTGATTGGATAAAAGAAAACAAAAGCACCAAGTGAAATCTAACTTTGATTTTGACAAGAGACAAACATAAAGTGACAAAAGAAAAGTGATTTTTTTTTAAAAATCTGACAAAGTTAGTATTCATCAAGTGCAACAGAATGAATTGGGTGTATTAAAGTAAAATGATACGTAATTTGAAGTGAAAAGGTTCAAACGGTTATGTTTCTTCCTGGTAAAGGAAAGAATCAACAAAATATATATGAGTTGCCTAACCATGCAGCTTTAAATAGAAGACAAACTGATAAAACACAGAGCCCAACATGGACAGGGTCTGGTCCATGTGGCCTGGAGGCCCAAGCAGCACAGTGGACAACAGGTGTGGGGACACAGAGAGACTACATGACACGCCCAAGTGGGAGGGGTGATGGTGGTTTTTGACCATGAAGTAAAAACATTTTGTTTGGGACATAATGTTTTGGGGTAAAAGAAGATCTTAGAGAAAGAACACAAAAATTTCCATTACTTTCTGTATCTCACAAATTTCATTATTTTCCTGTAATATTTGAACACAAAAGGTGCCCAGCAGGACAGAAGTCATGGCTTAGTTTAAGGCTACACACACACATATATGGACAGATGTGAATGTGACATGGGAAAGGAAGAAGGGACACAGAGAATGTTGGTCCACAGCCAGGGTTTGCAGAAACAGCTCTGCTCTTCTACAGGTGCCAGGACATCCTACATGGCCTTGAAGAAAGATGGCCCTTCATTAGCTCAAGCTAAGAGCTGAGATGTTTACATCTGGGTCATCTCTCAGCTCCTTTTTGTTCTCTCTTCTGTCTCCTCCTTTCCCTATCCTTCCCTCCCTCTCTTTGTCTCTTCCTCACTTCTTTGCTCTCTCTTTTTTCATTCATTCTGCTTCTTTCCTCCTTCCCACTCACCCTGCCTCCCTTTCTTCCTTTCACTTCTTCCTTCAACTCAATTGATTCTGAGGACCAATCTCAACCACAAGGATCAACATCCAAGTCAATGATGACAAATCTCAAATAAACACCCAACAAATAGAATTCATCAAGGGACAGCAACTTATGGTGAATTCTGACACGAATACCCTGGAAAGGATCTGCACTGTGCTGATCAACTCTGTGAGGAGCCTCTGTCAAACCCTACTTCCTGGAAATAGTGATTGCTGGACTCAGTGTTATCAGGACTTTCCTTCTCTCTCTCTCTCTCCCTCTCTCTCTCTCTCTCCATTCCAATTCTGTTTCTAATTGTCTGTACTTAACCACATTGCATTTCCCTAACTTTTCAACCACTCTGTGAGTGGTAGAAAGTTTATTTGTTAAACAATGTTGAACACAGCATCCAAATAAGGCGACTGGGTATCTGTGCCATCAGATCCAGCGTCACTGAGGCAGCTCGCCCTTCCTTCCTTCCTTCTTTCCTTCCTTCCTTTCTTCCTTCCTCTTTTGTTTGTTTATTGGAGACAAGGTTTTGCTATGTAGCCCAGGCTGGCCTCAAACTTGTGATCCTCCTGTTTCAGGGTCCGAGTGCTAGGATTGCAGTCATGGACACACCTGCACCCCAGCTCTATCTTAACTTTTTTCTGTTGACCTGCCCATTACTTCCTCTGGAAAGGACCACCCGGGAAACATAAAAAGGCTGTGGTGAACAAACCCATCAGTTCTCTTTTTAAGCAGCTGTAATGTCAAAATAAAACTCAGGGAAATGCTGAACTGAGATTGTTCTGTATTTTCCGCTTATTTTCTCTGCTATGGCTTTCTCCTCTTACTGAATAAACCTAAGAATTGACTGAGAATAAGCTCATTTGATTCATGTCAAACTCCATGGAATGTATATAATATTTGCAAACCCTGAATTTCAATCTACAAGCCATTTGATGACAATAGAGATGTGCTTTACATTGTGCAATGCCTATAAAACTATATAAATTCAGGATTTTTTTGGTGGGGGGGTGGTAATGAATCACAGTTGACAGATTTACCTAATGTTTGAATAATTTTACTTAATCTTACTTTTTTTTCTAAAACGTTTACTTTTGATAGTGATCAAAAGGAGTCGCCATTAAAAGGTGAAATTTTTGTTAATGAGTTTTTCATAAAACAAGCAACACTGCCCTCAGGTTTTTCAAAATGAAACTGATGTTAGAATGGTATGCATTTGTGTACGTGTTGTGTCAGTGTGTATGTGTCTGTGTGCTTGAAGGTGTGTGTCTATGTGTGGTTTGTGTCTGTGGAAGCGCGTGTGTGCCTGCGCATGCGATGGGGGCGGGGCCGGCGGGGGCAGCCACGGTTGCTTCCAGTGAGATGTGATTTCCCTGAGGATTTTGTCAGTGCCTAGACTGCTGGAAGGATCAGCTTTATTTAACCCTAAATAATGGATGTTTATTGCAAGTGTCCTGCATCATTAGCATAACAGAACAGAGCATTTTATCCTACTTAAGCCATGCTCTTTACCAAGTGCACAATCTGCGATGCAGGGGCTCACAATCGACCACCATCTGCTGTCTCCATCTTGGAATCACAGTGAGATTTGTGCAGCCAAACAAGAAATGGTCTGGTCTGCCTGTCCAATTAGTTAAATAAACTGAAAAGGCTTTGCTGACAAAGTGCTGATAAATGCTCTGTGATAATTATAGGATGGCGTTTTCACCTCACTCTGATTGGATGGGTTTAATCTTGCACCAACCATCACTCATGCCTTTAAAACGATACAGGGAATTAAGAGTGATCGTGGGGACCAGAATGAGTGGATGCCAGATCAGAATGCTAAGTCTGGAAGCACGGAGTCAGGCTGGTCTCAGCTACTGTGGACACTGTCACCCTGCAGTGCAGTCCCACTTTGTATTCCATGTCCTCGCTGGCACTGGCCGAAGGATGGTGCCAACATCCCAGAAATGTATCACAGGAAGATAGAGCTCCCCAGTGAGTAAGTGAGCCCCCACCACCTCCAGTGGGTGAAGGTGCAAAATGTGGCTAAGAAGGTAACTATTTGATGGGAAACATGAATTACAGCAAAAGCAAGTTCTGCCATGTATTTAGAGTTGTCATGAGTTACATAAAACAAGTTCATAACAAATGTTTTTCATAGTTTATTAGGATAGGTGCGTAACAGAAAGCTCAAAGTAGGACAAAGCTGCTATTTCTTAAAGGCTACCCTACATTCTGCTCCATGCACCATAATTTTTTGGCGCTCCAAGGAGAAACTCATCATCTAAGCCTCCTCTCCCCACAGCCTGGGAAACATTAATCCACAGCATGAAAATCAGTCCTGTCTAAAAATCCCATAATTCCATAATTAGTTTAAAAAATCAAACACAGTTGTTTTAAAATATTTACATTCTCATTTAGGGTTCAAGAAGTGATTACTAACATGTATAATCACATATGACATCACAGAACCAGAACTTGATCACAGTTTAATTCAAAATGAAGCCAGATTTGCAAAAGAATTTCAGCCCCAGGGAACAGTGGGCAAAATCTGCTGAAAGGAGCTTCCTGCCATCTTGCAGATAAGACTAGCACACAAGACAGGAATGTCAGCATTTCTACCTAAAACAGATGGGCACTATCTCCAAGAACAGACCAAAACACAGTTCATTTTCCAACAAGCACTTCAGTGGGTATTCATCCAGTAATCTGATGTGGAGTCAGGTATTTGATCATTGAGTATGTGGAGAATTTGGATTAGTGTTTCTTTATTTGGTTGACAGACTCCATAAACCACACAGATTTGGAGTTATGAGTTATCAGGGATCATATCTTGGATTCTCATGTTAAAGCTATTGTTCAAGGTGATGGAAATTTGTCGGGAGTGTTAAGCCATTAAGCAGGTGCTAGAAAGCAATGTTTTCCTGTTTTCCTGATTTAAACAATGGAGAAGCTAAGAAGAAAAATAATAGGAAAAGGCTTTCCTATATTTTCTTTAAAAAAAAAAACGGTGTTAGTTTGAATTTAATAACTTTTTTTTTGTCAAATCTCCTCTCTGTTCTTTTAGTTTTCCCTGAAATATTTATAGGAAAAGAGCATTGGAACAAAAGTACCTAATGATCATATTTAACCATTGAAGGGTTGTTTGGTGACAATATTGCCTGGCAAGGGTGCATGGTTAAGAATTAAAAGAGAATGGACACTTTAGGAGAAAAAAATTCATTTCCAATGCATTTTACCCTGCACAAGGTTCACAAACACACACATACACAAATGTTTAACTTTTTATTCCACATTTTTGCCTGGTTAGTGAAAGATGTCAGGATGGACATTCCAGGAGGTTTGCTTGTCTGTCACTGAATAAGAGGGTCTTGCAAGGCTGGCAGTGAGCTGGCCTGCTTCCCTTCTGTCTTCTGTCAGAGCCTAGTGTATTTCATCCAGTTACTGCTGCTGAGAAAAGTGGCATGGGGATGCAGGGTGATGGTGATGCCGACAATGATGATTAGATGTGTGAACAACCAAGGGCAGGAACCAGATACCCCTGATTTTGCCTCACAAACAGCCAAGATAAATTCTAGGCAAAACCAAGGCTGTTACAGAGCACTCATGGAGTCCCAACTAAGGCATCTCTGGGTAATTGATCTCCCCTTCACTGCTCAGATTACTTGGAAATTTTCCTCTTGTTCAATAATGAACAAGAAAGAAAGAACAATGGTGGTCACCTGAAATTCAGGAATGAGTGACCATAGAGAGCTTCATGCTTGAGAGAGGATGCCTTTAAATTATATGCTTTGGAAGGTGACAGATGGGAGAGAGTAAATTTGTCCTAAATACAGTTTTTCCAGGAATGTTTCAGAATTTCTGAGACAAGGAAAATCCTATTTTGTTAAAAAAAAAAAAAAAAAGAAAGAGGGAAGGGAAGGAAAGGAAAGGAAAGCCCCTCCATTGTCTTGGAGAATGCTGACAAGTGAAACTCTTTTTGTCCCCATGGGCAGGCTAATTCTGCTACTGTCCCACTGATTTCTCTGGCTGGGCCCTGATTCAGCGACCTGGGTCCCCCTGGATAAAGGACAGCTGTTTGGCTGGTGAGCATTTGTTTTTCCACTGCTGGGGCCTCTAAGCTTCCCAAAGCAAGGATGCCCCATACCTCAAACAAGAGGAAGCAGAAATAGCCATGAGAATAAATCATTTGCTTGAAGCCTGGATTTTAACAGCTTCACTGAGGTCACCCAGTTCCAGGATGTTGGCTGCTTGTAGTGGCCTTGACAGCAGGTTACAGAGCTCTGCTTATAGTGGGAAGAAGCTGACACTATTGAGGTAACTTTGAGAAACTGTCATCCTTATCAACCCACTCACTTCTTGTAGGTCTCACAATGGGACTCCATGGGTGTCCCTGGTGTTGAGGGGTGGGTTGCATGTTGCCACCTACAGCAAAACTGGATCATAGACCAGAAAAATAGGATGGGCTGTGTGAGGAATCAGAATGCTGTGAAAACAAGAGGACCCCAAGTGACCTTGGCTAATTCAAGGACCACAAGGTCTATACTCAGACCATGCAGGGGCTATAGGAAACAAGAATAGGTCTATTTTCCCTACCCCAAACGATGAAGGTAAGAAGTCTAAAAGCCTGGATATAAAGGTGTTTATTTCATTTAAATGCAAATATTGCCATGTCTCTAAAATCATCTGAATGACCAATGATGGCTCCCATGCAATGGGGCCAGTCTTCACAGGAGGGGGGGGGGAGGGAGCAGGGAGAGAAGCGCTCTGTGGCCAACAGAGTTCTTACCAAATCATCACAGCCCTGATCGTCCTTAAGTGCTGAACACCAGAAATCCAACTTAGATATGAAGATTATGAGTCAGCATTAAAAAGCAGAAAGTTCAAACACCCCCGCTGAGCCTCTCAAAGTCTTCATCTTTCCTATCGCCCCCACAACCTTGAATTTTCTATTTTCTTGAAAACCAAAACACATCTGAACTATAACCTGTAAGTTTTAAAGGTAAGAAAGGATATTTATTTAACTCTGAAGGCCTCCCCCTACCCTACCCAGAGAGTCATCCTCAGATGGATGCATTTGAAACGAGAAACAACAGGGCGGGCCCTCTTCTGAGAAACAAAGACTTTGGAATCCTGAGATGGAGATACATTTCCTTACTTCTGCTCTCCCACATAAGGCAGCAAACAACAGGAAGCCGCAGGAGACCTGAGGCCTCTCAACCACACTCAGATGACAATCCTGGGTCGCTTCCCAGTGCTCCAGACAGAGCTATGCAGCAGGAGAGAGTGCTATCATCCACAACAGGCAATACATGCTTTGAAATGAGGATACGAATTAAAAGGGCCATGAGCAGTTTTTGCTATAATAAAAGGTTTTAGTTATTGTCTCTTTCCCTCTCCCTTTCCTTCCTACCTCCCTCTTTTAAGAAAAAGAGAAAGAAGTGCAGGGACAAAGCTCCTTCAGCATCCTGTGTGACTAATTCCTGACTGGATCATTACGCCACACCTGCAAGTTCTCCAAATGCACTCTTGACTGTGAACTGTGCTAAAATGCTTTAAAACGACAGTTTTCAAAACACAGCCTATCATCTCACTCACATCCTTTCGATACAATTAGAATGAAAGACTTCTGAGGCTTCCTCCATCTACAGTCAAAGCATGGGAACCCAGGGTAATCTGAACTTGTGCAGGGGGTGGTGCCTGGGGCCATGCTTGCTCTCAGAAAAATTGTCCTTGTTGATTTTGTCACTAGCCAAGTTGTGTTAACATCAGTCCATTCGGATAAATTAATACAAATATTTATAAAACAAATCCCTAGCATCTCTCTCTCTCTCTCTTCCTGTAAATTCTATGTTCTCAACAATAACTTTCACTGGATTCAAGCAACTTTTCTCATATTTTTCCATCTTCACTTGCAGATAACCTAAGACTATTAGACACTTAAGAACTAGGGGCTGTTACTACCTAAGTAATTATTTGTACTTCCTCTCATTCCCGGAGTACATCAACAATACTGAGGAAGATTGACGGAGAAATACACAAATGTAGAGAAATGGATTTGGGACTGAATATGTTCCTTTTGGGGAGAAAAAAAGAACTTCTCATATAATTAAATGGTTAATAGACTTCATTTCTAGCCTATGAAGAGGAGCAAATCATTGCAACCTCGATTTAACATCAGCAGTCACTGTTTAATCTTAGATGGATGAAGAGTCCAGAGAAGCTGTTCAAAAAGGAGCCAGGTGGCAACTGGTTCCTCATGCCCTGATCCAGAACCAGGGAAGAAATAAAATCAGTCACATTTGAATTTGAAAAGGGCAATTTGAGTGAGAACCATTAATAGTCACAAAATTCCCAAAGTGGGTGGCCAACACAGAGCATCCACTTCAGGAATGTCACAAGCACATGCAAAATAACTGTGCATTCCAAGCCACCAGGCTCTTAAAGAAAAGGTGTACGACTGTTTGCTAAGATTCTAGTCCAATCTTTCAGAAGGATATGAGTCTCCCCTTTGGATGGGGAGTTTAAAGTTCCAAGGATGGTGGCAGCTGGTTGTAGGTGTCTCTGAGGCCACCTCACCTTCAGCAGTCTGTTCCAGGTGTTGGACTATAGAAAACAAAAGATGACAATGTTGGAAATCATGATGCCCTTGTCACGTGCACATCTGGACCATTGGGAACTCTCTTACCCACTATGCACTCACACTACAGATAGCCTTCTGCCACCCGTGGGCTGTTAGAATTGGGTTTAATATCCATCCGCATGACCTGTTGCCTGCTCCTGCCTCTGTCTCTGTACTGTGGTCAGTGCCTTCTGCCCTGCACCCTCCCTCCTCATTCCCTGCCCAGGTGACTTGGGTCACCTTTACCTGTATTGATTTTCCATGGCTCGGCTCTCTGGTCGGTCTGGGACCCAGGAGTAACCGTCAGCCGCACTCTGAGGCTTCTTCTTCTCCTTTATCTCCTCCTTCTTGGCTCTCCGCTTGCGATAAACCAGAAGCCCTAGAGCAAGAGCCAGCAGGAGTGAGATGGCCACTACGGTGCCCAGGATGTAGAATAGGAGTAGCTTTTGTCCATCAGAGCCATCGTCGCTTTGTGTGGCCACGGAATCCTTGTCTACCATGGAATCTTCACCTGTAGGGTTGCCATGGCTGGCAGTCATGGGTAGATGGGTGCCCAGCTCTGTCCAAACAGCAGGGGACCCACTGGAGGCCAACATGTGGAGTGAGGCAGAGGTGGTGGGGACACTGGATGGTAGAGAGGGTCTTCTCGTGGTCGGTGGTCCCTTGGAGATGCCCTCAGAGCCCCTAGTGGGAGGAGTGGGTGTTGCAGCAGGAGGCATGGTGCTCCCCTCCTTGTTGTCTCCCTCATCCTTCTCTGAGAGAGGCCCAGCTGGAGGTACTAAGAACACAGGAGCCACGACACAAGAGACTCCATTGGAGGCCAGCTCCAAGCCCGGCAGGCAACCACAGCGGAAGGACCCCTCAGTGTTGAAGCACAAGCCCTCACACGAATTGCCCCTGGGACCCAAACACTCATCCACATCCTCACACTGGGTACCGTCCTCCCCAGACAAGACATAACCCTCCTCGCAAGAGCAGTGGAAGGAGCCATCGGTGTTGATGCAGTTCTGGGCGCAGAGCGAATGGCCAAGGGCGCACTCATCCACATCCAAACAGGCCTCCTCTTTCACACCACCAGGCTTGTAACCCATCCAACATTCACAGTGGAAGCTCCCAGGGGTGTTGACACAGTCCTGGGCACAAGGTGAGTCCTGACACTCATCTACATCCACACAGCCCAACTGACTCGAGTCCAGCTGATAGCCATGGGGACAGCGGCATATGTAGCTTTTCCCAGGGGGTCCAGGGACACATGTGGCCTCCCCTTTGCACGGGCTGGAGCTGCAAGGATTCCGGGAGGCACAGGTCACTAGGTCGTCCAGCAGCCGGAATCCAGGCCGGCAGCCACAGCGGAAGGAGCCATCTCCACCTTCGAAGCAGTCCTGCTGGCAGCCACCATTGTTGAAGTTGCAGCCGAACTTAGGGCTTATGCAGAGGGGGCCTGAGCTGCTCCAGTCAAACACACCAGAGGCCTTTTCCTTGCACAGGAAATAATGACTCTTACTGTCGGCCTCATCCTCACAGACCACATTGGCTGCAGAGGCAAAGGGCACAATCTCCAAGGAGGAGGTAGTAGCCTGAAAGGGGGTGGTATAGGTTACCTGACCTGGGCCCCCAAGAGCCAGCGGCTGGCACATCCCTTGGAAGCTGAACTTGCACACAAAACCATCAATGCTGTTTCGTGGAGTGGCTGCACCCCCACAGGGGCCATCAGACCACTTGGGGAGGTTGCTGGGGTGGGGCGTCAGGGACAGGTCCAGCTGCAGGGACACACAGCGCTTGGAGACGCAAGAGGACTTGAACTCTTTCAGCCAGTTTGCGTAAGGCGTGTCTTCTCCACCACCCACCCAGCTGAAGCCCTTCAGCGTCATGTTGGGGTGCAAGCACTTGCCCCTTTCTCGCTGGAGCCCGATCCAGAACTTGCCCATCTTTGCTTCCAGGGGTGCCTTGGACCTCAGGAGCTGGGCCAGCGCTTGCTGGATGTGCCGGGCCTCCTCCTCGCTCTTCACCGTGGCCAGGTTGCCTCCATTCTCATTGCAGCGATGCTGTGCCTCATCGGCACTCAGCTTGCCCCAGTGAGCCGTGTAGCAGGCAGTCCCTGCGCACACCACAGCCTCGGTGTGAGCTCCAGCCCCTGCCCAGGACTGGCCCAAGAGCAGCAGCAACAGCAAACTCTTGTAGGTGGCCATCCCGGTGGACTCCGTGTTCTTCTCAGCAGGAGGCTAGAAGCACCACAGTGACAGTAGCCACAGGAGCTTGGATTTCGGCACCCAGCTGTGCTCCGAGGGTTGCTGGGGGCTAGGAGGCAGCCTTAGCTGTTGCTCACAGAAGGACACAAAGACTATAGTTTCACATCCCCCTGACCCAAGGCGCATCCTGTGCTCTTGTAATTCTTATTTCTCACCGGATACTGGGGCTTCCTGCAGTGAATAGTTTTCTGACTCCTGTTGCCTTCATCACGGTTTTGTTGTTCATAAAAGGGACCAGGCAATTTAGCTGGTCTCTGGCTCAGAGTTGTGGAAACACTAAAGGACATAGGGAAGACGTGTCCAGCTCAGAGATACTGTCGCTTTATTTTGGCTCCATTCTCTTTCCCATTGCATAAGGAACCTAAATTTCTCAGCAAGCAGAGAAATTGGGGGTTCTGAACTTAAAAAGGATCACTCAGTAACCCATAATAAAATTCCATTTTGGTTTGCAAACAACCAAGAGAGAAAAAAAATTCTGAGACTTGAGACATAAGACCATGGATGGTTATAATTTTCAGCCTTTTTTAGAAGCAAAGTGGATTTTTCTGTTTCCTATCTCATGTTCCCCCATTGGCTTTTAGACTCTTTTTTCTTTTATTCTCCTCATGAACTTTAAATAGATAGGCAGTTTTTAAATAGGAGCTGGGCCGTGGGAATGTCTGGCTTTCTAATATAATGCCAAGCTCCTCAAGAACATTAAACCAAATGGGGTGAAATTTGGCAGTTTTCTGTGTTTCATAGTGCAAATACTGCATTGGGAGGTGGCGGGATCACACACACAAAAAACAGCATCAGAAAGAAAGGAAAATGTTTCTATGTTTCTAACCTCCTCCTGGGCCTGTGCTTACATGACTCCTCCCCTGGTTCAGGGAATTCAAGGGCAGGAAAGCAGAGTCAAGACTGGAGTTCAAGGGTAGGGAATGAGAATCAAATTGGAGTTCAAGGGCAGAGAATGAGAATCAAGGCTTGAAGTTTTGATCAGGGAATGAGAATCAAAGTCTTGGCAGGCCTCCTGGTTCACAGCCACTCATCCAGCATCCCTGAATGAAAGAGCCTTTGTTTACCCTTTGTGTTCATAGACAGTTGATGGTCAAAACTATATTTGGTTGCAGTTCACCCAAGAGTAGGGCCTGAGACAAGGATTTGGAGCAGGTAGTGTATTTGGGAGGGGAGGTGCAACAGTCAAGGAAGGAACCAACACAGAGTGACCTAGTGAGCAGCTGACATAAGGTTCCTGGAGCACTGGGATACTCTAGTACTGAGGGTCGCACCTCAGAGTTGTCTCAGCTGAGGACAGGAGGCAGTTCTTCTCTAGGTTCCATTTGTCAGTGGCAGCTGGCTAAATTTATATTTGTCTCTTATTTGTTCTTGAGGTCTCTCTTAGGATAGCGGCTATAAACTCTAGCTCTGCCCAGCTGACCAGGTGACCCTCTTTCAGGTAAGTTGTTGGCACTGGCATATGCCCCTTTGGTTCTTATTTGACCTTAGTCCAGTCTTTCTCTTGGTCTAGACCTCTGTCTGTGCAGTCATGAGTCTGATTCCTCTGTCAACTCACCATCTGTTAGAAGTCACCCAACATGCTGCACTGTTGGTGCTTAAAGACACAGGTTGAATAAATGACTTACAGTTAGCCACTCTGATCCTTAAATCTTTGCCAATCTTCCTTGAAAGCTGACTGTTCTTCCTCTTCTCCACATAGGAATTTTCAAATCCGGTTCATCTGGTGATGGCTTTGTTCTGGGCTCAGTGTGGTTAATGCCAATGGGATAACTCACAGGGGCACTTTCCTGTCCCAGGTCTCCCTGCCCTAAAGGAGGTGCCACAGGTCACAGAGGGCTGAGCAATGTGATATCTGTGAACTCAGAGAAGACAGAAAGCTTACTTCTGGGTGGGATTTGGCAGAGTTTTATCAAGTATGTAAGTTAGCTTGCATACCAACTGTAGGAACTTCAGCATCTCACATAGTAAATTTCCGCATGGGTACTGATTCATCACATTTTATTTAGAGTGCAGATTACATCAAACCTCTCCAAGGACTGATCCTGAAATGACAGGAATCAGCAGCCTGGAGACCGAAAGAGCTTTTCTTGTCTGGTCTTTGGATAAAAGCCATTTCAGGGGTTCTAGAAAAACATCACAAATCTGAGAGCATGGTATATCCCTGAGCATTGGTCCCAAATCATCTGCTTCTCCTCTGGAGCCTCACTGAGCACTCTGAGCTTTCTTTTGAACTTGCCTTAAAAACATATTTCACATTATGTTCAGGATGGAATGTTCTGGTCTCAAGGATGGGGATGGTTTAATCTCAGTTATTTGAGAGCAGATTAGTTGTTTTATGGGTTATTCGTGCATCTATCTGGCTTCTTTCTTTTTCTTTCTTTCTGAACTGAGACTTGGATGTAGGAGAGTATAAAAAGCAGACTGCATTTTTCCGGGCACAACACACAGTAGGTGCCCAAACATATCAGGCAGCTCTCCTCTGTGCTCTCAAGAGTACACACCGAGCACCTGCTGTGCATCAGGCTGTTGCTTCCACGTGGAGCCCAGGGCACGAGGGCTGCACTGTATTATGGGGCCTTGTAGCAAACAGGTAGGATGGGGCGAAGAAGAGCCAGGAGAAACCCACTGGCCATGGGGTTCTTAGAAATAGCTCTCTGGGTAATGAAGGACAAGTTTCAAAGGTGAGCCAGGGAAGCAGGAGACACCAGGTGGTCAGAGCATCTGGAGAGGACCAGTGCATACACTACAACTGGCCCTGCCAGAGAGAGCATAGGGCTGGTACATGTTGGAGACCTAGGGGATGCAGGAAATAATTAGGTGATTTCTTTACAGAAAATTTAAAACTGAAAAAAAAAAACTGATTAAAGGTCAATCTTCTTTTTAGTATTTTTAAAATTATCTTTACCAAGTCCCAGCTATGATAAAGTGTGTCCATATCCTCTTCCCCTCCCCCCAACCAAAAAGCTTTTGCTGGTCTAAGTCCTAGACAATTATGGTCCTCGCCATTGTTTTAATAATACATATAGAAACTTCAGTTTAGCTCTTTCTAACTACTTGTTCTTTTTTTAAATTATTTATTCTTTAATAGATACTGTATCTCACCCAGAGGTTTTTCCCAGTTGTAGAGCAGATCCCAGCTCATGTGGACTACACTGTCACCTAGCAAGGGCTTGTTACCCATCAAGCACAGAAGCCAAGACTATGGCACAAGGTTTTTGGGAAAATAAACTTTTTTGAGCAGCGGACTGACAAGGAAGCCAGGAGCTATAAGCTCAAATCTGCCTCCCTGACTGGTTGGGGATGGAGTGCATAGGAGAAGAGGGCCTTGTAGGGTCCTTTTGCTCAGGCATAAATGATCCTCGTGACTCTTCACAGGATGCATCTTTCTTTCCCTTTTTGGGGGGAGTGGGGAGAGGGAGGGTTATCATGTTCTGTGTGGGGATTTTGAACTTATGACTTCAAAAGATTGTTGGCCAGAGAAGCTGGCTGTTTCTGCACAAGTCCATCCTTGAAAAGCCAGTTCCATGGGTCCCTAGGTGGATTCTGGAGACTTTTCCAGAAAGATAGAATAAGAACTTTGCAATTTAAGAAATTTGTGCCTGGGTGTGGCCAGGCCATAACCAATTTCAAAACCACCCACAGTCCTTAGAGAGCAAGTCCATAGTGGTCAGGAGTCGCTCAGCTTGCTTGGTGGCAGCCCTGTGATTCCATGTTTTCTTGTTTATACAGTAGACTCACAGAGACTAAGAGAACAAGTAATACTGGAGTAGCTTCTGTTCCGTCTGTCTATGGTATATAAACACTTTCCCTCTGAAAATTCAAATCCAGTCTGCTGAAAAAAACAAAGGTAGATTAAGAGGAGAAAAGCCATAACGGAACTTCTTAATATGTACATGTGCCTTGGAGCCATACAAAATAGAGTGGAACTCGAAGTAAGGGCTAGATAGTAAGACTTAAACACCCTCTTTCCTTTCCTTCCCTCTCTCCCTCCTTCCCTTTCTTCTTCCTTCCTTCCTTCCTTCTGTCTCTCTTCTTTCTCTCTCTCTCTCCTCTCTCCCTCTCTCTCTCTCTCTCTCTCTCTTTCTCTCTCCCTCCTTTCCTTTTTTCCTTCTGGAATTCCTTCCTTCTCTCCTCCAGTCTCTTCCCCTCTCCTCCTCAACCCTCCCCCCTTCCCCTCCTGTCCTCTCCTCTCTTCCCCTTCCTTCCCCTCCCCTCCATTTCCCTTCTTCTCCCTTCCCCTCTTCCTTTATTTAATTATTTATTCATTTTGGCTTTTCAAGACAGGTCTCTCTATTTAGTACAGGCTGGCCTCAGCCTCCTAGTGCCAAAATTACAAGCATGGACCACCATGCCTCGCTTGAATACCCTCTTCATAGGGGAGTGGGAGACAGGGTGTAGGTAATTTAAAGGCACAGTAGATGATTTTAGGGGAGATGAATAGACCCTCAAGATAGAAATTAGCTGATAAAGGATTAAAGGATTCTCTTTGGAAAGAGACAGACACAATCTTGTGACTAAGTGAGGGGTTATATTTCTTAGTCTTTTTCCTTGTGATAGATAACATTTTAGGGAAGGGCTGGGAGGTAGATGCCCTATGGTATGTGTGGTCTTAAGGCAAATGAGGGAAATCAGACTAGAGGGGGTTCTTTGGTTTAAAATCCACAGCATAACAGGGGCCACATTTTGGAATGTTGTTTTCTAAGTTCCAACAGTTTACACAGGAGTTTTTGTGTTCATAATTTAAAACAGACTGGAGGCCTGATATTCTTGTGTGTAAGTGCAAATTTTAGTTTTTACATGAGAAACCTAACTGAATTTGAATAACATTTTTTAAAAATTGAATTTTCTCCTTTTTTATTTTTCTCTAAAGCTAAAGAACAAATTAAGAAAAATCATTCGTAATGATTATGAAGTGATTATTTCCGAAAGTATTTTGTTGTACACATGGGCCACCGCAGTGACCCACAAAGATCCTGGTATCCTCTAACACAGCCGCTCGGGGACACATTTCTCACACAGGGGTGGCTTGTCAATGACTGACCCTCTGCCCTGCTTTGTAGATAAGAGATATCAGTAC